GCTGTGTTTCCATTCATACATGGAGCTGTGGCTTGGCCCTGCCCCCCTCTCTCCTCATTGGGTGACTGGCTGTGATTGACAGCAGCGGGAGCCAATGGCTCCCACTTGCTGTCTCAGCCAATGAGGAAGCAGAGACCTGTGACAGCCAAGGCTGTTGTGCACACCGATCGCAATGGGGTTCAGATAAGTATTAGGGGGGGCTGAGGGCCCTGCTGCACACAGGCTTTTTTTTACCCTTCATGCATAGAATGCATGAAAGTAAAAAACCTTTAGCCTTTACAACCACTTTAAATTTTAAGTGGTTCAATCACTGTTTTAAATTTTTCATCATTTCAGTCAGGGAATTTAGCTCTGCCTCAGTTGATTATATATATTTGCACTATACACCACTGATTCTGGGAGATGGTGCTAAAAAGAAATGATTTTTATGGCTCTGCCCGCTGTCTTGGAATGAAGAATAATCATATTTTTGCGCTTTGATAAAATGAGACATGTGAATACCGTCTGTTTTAAGAAGGCGTTCCTCTGCTTCTATATAAACATTCCAAAGTAATAATGTCAGCAGCGGAGGGTATGGAGGCACTAGCTGTTAACCTATGCTGTCAAGTATTTTTGCTAATTTGAGACTAGTACAAGATTGTGATTGGTTAAAATATGTTATTGCATGTAAGAATAAACACATAAAGACCACTATTTTGAAAAATATTATATTATTATAATTGTATCCAGTTAATACATGTAATGATATTATTCAGTATATGTATTTCCTTTTTTATTTCACATACTTTTGTTTTTATATTTCTCTGCATTTACATGGAGCTCAAGGTGTCTAACAAAAGTGAAAGGGACAAGGGGTTACAACAAACTATTACACTGCTGGGTATGTAAAATAGGCTTTATTGATTTTACCATTAGAGGCCTTTTACATCAGTCAAGAAAGTCACCCACTCTGCTGAATGAGTGCTGACAAATGATTAATTAAAACGGAACTTTAGGCAGTAGGGGGGAGGTTCTGGTTTGCCACTTCTATGGGTTCAAGGTGATTTCGACGAGTTTGAGGCCAATGGTCCTGAGGTATTTAGGTACATTTTCACCTGGCAGAATTTTTGCAAATTATAATGCACTGCCCAATATTTAACTATTGGCATCAGGCTTAGAAGGGACACTGTGGTGGCTTTTGGATATGTTGGTCTCCTCACTGTTAAAGTGGGCATAGAGTATTCATAGTGTCAGTGAATTAGACGATGCTGTAGGGAAAGATTAGGGAAAGCTGACAAACTGTACAAGGAGAGATAACGGTTAGTTAGGAAACTGTACTTATTGCTAGCTTTTTGGGCAATCAACCCACTTGTTGCTTTTTTTTTAATTGTCTTCAATTTACAATTTAGCTGCTTCAATTTGTGTTGTATATATATTGTTCTTTATTTTTTGTTGATAGGTAACTGCTTTTTTGCAGATAGGTTTCACTTTTAAAAATGTGGGGTTTAATGGGGGGGGGGGGATTTTAAAGTTGATATCTCTCATGCTGCTTTTTGTTTTTTTACTTTGTTTCTGTACTTATTGCTAGCTTTTTGGGCAATCAACCCACTTGTTGCTTTTTTTTTAATTGTCTTCAATTTACAATTTAGCTGCTTCAATTTGTGTTTGTATATATATTGTTCTTTATTTTTTGTTGATAGGTAACTGCTTTTTTGCAGATAGGTTTCACTTTTAAAAATGTGGGGTTTAATGGGGGGGGGGATTTTAAAGTTGATATCTCTCATGCTGCTTTTTGTTTTTTTACTTTCATTTGATGTTGATATGGCATTTTTTTTAATTTTGGGGTGCTCAAAGCACAACATTCACTTGCCGCTGACTGTTTGAGAGAAAAAAAAAGTCCCAGAACAGCATGTACCTAAACCACCCCACATTACATAACTCGTATTCATTGTACACCTCCAATAGTAAAAATTAAGTTAGACATACACTGATAAGGCCTATTAACCCTCCGTAAAACTGTCCTGCTGAAGGCAAGTTTTATACTGTGGTGTTATCTGGGGTCTCTTAATTCTTGTAGTAAAGATCTGATGATGTTCTTTGTCTCTAGTATATTTTTGCCAATTATCTTCATTAGAAATGTCCTTCTGCTGGCCAGTTTTACACTGCTGTAACATTTGAATTATTCTGATTCTCTTTTAAAACCGGGCCTAGTTTTGATCATTAAAATTGCCCGGCTGCTGGACAATTTTCCACTGCTATAATATCTGTGGTTTCTTAATTCTAAATGAAAGTTTGATGTATATTGGCCATCAGCAGGACAATTTTGCATTGAGACATTTTTTAAACTAAAATGACTTAGGTTGTGGTGTTAGTGGAGCTGTATGAATGTTTAGCTGATGGTAAAATAAAAAAAATCAATGCCACAGCCAGTGCATGCTGTCACTGAGACTGTCCATGAAAAGCATAAAACCACATACAATGCAAAACAAAAATTAATCTGCCCACAGGATTTTAACAATATACACCACCAACAACAAATTAATGAAACTAACATTTTATTGGTATATGAGAGATAAAAAAAAATGACTTTGTAGTTTGTAACAGGAAATAAACTATGCATATGAATAAGCTATAAAAATATTAACACTCGTAATATTAATTTTAGCTCAGCAGAGGAGATAACGTTGTAAATATTATAAATTCCTTCAAAAGCACTTTTAGTGTGATCGACATAAAGGAAAATTCCACCCAAACTGATTTTCCAGTACTGTGTGGTTACTGACTAGTTACATTCTGGCGTATTTAATGGCATTTCTGTTAAGGTAGACCCAACAGAACTCCCTTTACCCTCTGTTGTAGTCATTATTATCCAAATATAATGTTACACTACCCTGAATGATGTCAAATAAGTAAGTATTGTAAGATACAGCTGTGAAAATGTGGAGGAATCTTCCCATTTCTGGAGTTTATAGTGCATATAAAAAATTGAATGATATTTGTGCCTACTAAAAAATAAATTAAATATACATTTTTGGTGATGTTGGTCAGTGTTAGGAGACATGCGCCTACACCACCCATCTATGAACAGCACATCCCTGCCTCTCCACAGGCCATTGCTCTCTTTTCCCAGCCTGCTGGAGTCAGCACCCTCTCTGCTTCCATTAGCAGGTTGTGGTGCTTCCCCTCAGGCAGCATCCTCGCTGCTAGGCAGTGGTCAGCTTGTACCATTCTGCCTTCTCTATCCTGACTGGCTGTAGCACTCTATTTGAGCACTACAAGGCTTGTAATAGTATTATTCTTCTTTTCTCATGTACTTGTGTCTTGCCTTGTCCTAGTTTATAAAAATTGCAGCCTTACCTGACCTCCTGTCTGGATATGGATTACTCTACTGATTTCCACTTGCCCTAACCCTTGCATGGATAATAGATATGTTACTGATGCTACCCTTGCCTGCATAAGAGACAGAATATACACTGCCCATTCCTGCCCTTACTCATGCAGATATGCTATTGATTCCTACTTGCCCTGACTCATGCCTGGATAATGGATATGCTATTGGCTGACACCTGCCCTGAACCTTGATTGCATAGTAGACTCTACTTTTGCCTCCTGCTAGCCAGTTCAACAATTGTACACTTGGTGTCCAGTCACCAAATCTGGTTACTCCAGCATAAGTTCCGGTCTTGAAACACTATATTGCCAAAAGTATTGGGACGCCTGCCTTTACACACACATTAACTTTAATGGCATCCCAGTCTATTGATTTGGCCCACCTTTTAAGCTATAACAGCTTCAACTCTCCTGGGAAGGCTGTCCACAAGGTTTAGAGTGTGTCTATAGAAATGTTTGACCATTCTTCTAGAAGTGCATTTGTGAAGTGCACTGATGTCAGACAAGAAGGCCTGGCTTGAAGTCTCCTGTCAGGAATGGACTGGCCAGCAATGGTGGGACTCACCTGCCTTTTGATCTGCAGTACCAGGGCTGGCCAGCGGATGCTCCCAGCAATCAGAGACTCAACTTTGCAGCCAGCTAACACCTGGAACTGATTATGCTGGGGTATTTAAGGGATGGCCAGACTTGCAGACTCTGCCTTGGTGTTATGTCTGTCCTGGGCCCTGTATCCTGTGTCTGTCCTGCATCCTGTTTCTGAACCGCTGCTGACTTCTCCTGCTCTGATCCCGGCTCGCTCCTGACCATCCCTCTGCCTGACCCTCTGTACCACGCTGCTTGCTACCTGTTCTGATCCCTGGCTTGACCCTGACCATCCCTCTGCCTGACCCTCTGTACTACGCTGCTTGCTACCTGCTGAACCTGGCCTGTGCCCCCGACCAATCTCCGCTTGCTCCCCCTGTACCTACTTGCCCTATTGATATTGACCCGGCCTGTCTGACGACGCTTGCTTGTATGTACTGTTATCTGTGGGTGGTTGTTTGGTTTGGTTTGGTTGCACTGTATTATGTTTTAGTATTGCACTGCGTTTATGTTTGTATTGTTAGTGTTAATAAAGTATAATGTTTATAACATATCTGAGGTCTGTGTTTCCCTGCGTCAGCCACACACCTCTAGTCACACCTGGGAGCCCTGACATCTCCACTCTAATTCATCCGGATGGTGTTTTATCGGGTTGAGGTTAGGACTTTGTGCACACCAGTGAAGTTCCTCCACCCCAAACTCACTCATCCATGTCTTTATGGACCTTGCTTTGTGCACTGGTGCACAGTCATGTTGGAACAGGAAGGGGCCATCCCCAAACTGTTCCCACAAAGTTGAGAGCATGCAATTGTCCAAAATATCTTGGTATGCTGATGTCTTAAGAGTTCCCTTCACTGGAACTAAGGGGCCAAGCCCAACCCCTGAAAAACAACCCCACACCATAATCCCCCCTTCACCAAACTTTACACTTGACACAATGCAGTCAGTCAAGTACCAATCTCCTGGCAACCCTGAAACCCAGACACGTCCATCGGATTGCCAGACAGAAAATTATGATTGTCACTCCGGAGAACATTGCTCCACTGCTCTAGAGTCCAGTGTTGGTGTGCTTTATGCCACTGCATTTGACGCTTTGCATTGCACTGGGTGATGTAAGGCTTGGATGCAGTTGCTTGGCCATGGAAACCCATTCCATGAAGCTCTGTACTCACTATTGTTGTACTAATCTGAAGGCCACATGAAGTTTGAAAGTGTTTAGCTATTGACTCTGCAGACAGTTGGCAACTTCTGCGCACTGTACGCTTTAGCATGCGCTGACCCCGCTCTGTCATTTTACGTGGCCTACCACGGTTGAGTTGCTGTCAGAAATGGACTTGCCAGTAATGGTGGGACTCACCTGCCTTGTGGGCTGCAGTACCAGGGCTGGCCAGCGGGTGCTCTCAGCAATCAGAGACTCAACCCTGCAGTTAGCCAAACACCTGAAGCTGATTACGGAGGTGTATTTAAGGGATGGCCAGACCTGCAGTCTGTGCCTTGGTGTGTGTTTTTCCATGGGCCTCTGTATCTTGTTACCTGCATTCCCTGTTCCTGCCTGACTGACTTGTTGCCGACCCTGCTTGATCCTGACCTCTGCTGACTTCTCCTGTTTGATCCCTGGCTTGTGACCCCGACCATTCTCTGCCTGACCCCCTGTACCTACCTGCCCGTTAGTTGCTGTACCCGGCTCGTGACCTGACTACTCTCTGCCTGCTCCTCCTGTTCCTACCTTCCCGATTGTTATTGATCCGGTCTGCCTGACTACGCTTGCATTGTATGTATTGTTATCTGTGGGTGGTTTGGTTTGTTTGCACTTTGTTTATGTTTTAGTATTGCACTGCGTTTTGTATTGTTAGTATTAATAAATTATATTGTTTATAACATATCTGAAGCCTGCATTTCCCTGCGTCAGTTCACATACCTCTGGTCATACCCGGAGCCCTGACCGTTGCTGTTGTTCCTAGTTGCTTCCACTTTGTTATAATAGCACTAACAGTTGGCCATGGAATATTTAGTAGCAAGGAATTTTCATGGATGTACTTATTGCACAGGTGGCAACCTATCACGGTACCATGCTTGAATTCACTGAGCTTTTGAGAGCGACCCATTCTTTCACAAATGTTTGTAAAAGCAGTCTGCATGTCTAGGTACTTGATTTTATACACCTGTGAAAATGGAGGTGATTGGAACACCTGAATCCAATGATTTGGTGGAGTGTCCCAATACTTTTGGCATTATAGTGTACATGAACTCTTTGTCTCCGAGGGTTGCTCAGGAGTGTCCAGGTTCTGCAAATTTAGCACTACAACTTAATTCTTGGGGGTATACAAGTACCAGTAGGCATACTGGATTTAAGGGAAATGTCTGCTATAGGTAAAATGGTGCATAAGTCTTGTATTCTTGTAGAACACAATGCAAACTGGTAAACCTTACATTCAGTACTGTAAATAAAGTTAATACTTTACAACCCTGGCTTTTTGTTTATAATGTGTAATGTAACACTGGCATGGGGCATCCAAAGATGTTCTTTGCTTTTACAGTCTGTGCTTCCTCCTTAGTTGCACTTTGCAAAAAATAAGCATTCCTACTGCTCATATCATTGCAGTTAGGGATGATCCAAATGTGCCTGAGGTTTGTTCGATGAACATTACTGAAATTCAAACCCCATTGAAGTCAATGGTTGTTGAACATTAAAAATCAATCATAGCCATCATGTACACTAATAAACAACGGAATGTCTAACAAATGGCTTGGGAAACTGGCCTCCTGGGGGACATGTGCCAAAGCAAATGATTCCATTTGGTAGGAAGCAGTAATTTTAATAAAACCTAAGGGGCCAAAAAATAAAATGCAAAATTCATTTTGCATTCAAAGCCTTTTTTTGCATTATTTCCGCACATATTTAATAAATAATTTTAGGCCTTAATATTATGTAAAACCCCCCAAACAATATACATTTTCTGAAAGCAGACACCCAAGAAAAAAACATAGTGGTAGTTCCAATTTTTTATGTCACACAATATTAGCAAAACAGTTTACAAAATGCAAAAATTCAGGAGAAAAACACTAAAAGTTAAATTTAGGGCACATAAACACAATATTGTATATTACCCAATTTTTTTGAAAAATATTAAGGTTGTGTTGAGTAAGCAGATACCCAAAATGCCAAGCCTTAAAATTGTGCATGCAAACAGGGACAAACTTCAAAACCCTATATTTTCCATAGGCAGGGCTTTAAAAGCCTGTACAGGTTATTAATTTAGCGTTAGATTTGACACTCCAGCGTGTGAAGCGATATGTAACATGACTAATGGGATCTTTTGAATTATTGCTTTCACATGCATTTACATTCATATGTGCATGTATGTGGGGTCTCAAAAATTTTGGAGAGGATTTTAAGTGCCTGGGTGTAACTTTCATTTTTTACATTTTTCGCAGGTTTTTTTTTTACTAAAAACATAGGCGACAAAGACCCCAGTGTGATGTATTTTTAGTGACAGGTTCTCTAGAAAGAGACATCAAGGGTCTAAAAGACCCTTAATGTCTCACCCGTCCTTCAGTGAACTAATGCAGATGTATACAATCTATTAAAGCAAAACTGACATTTGCAGGACAATTCTGTTTAAATTGCCTTCAAATGATGGCTTTGAACTCTTACTTCTGTTTGTATACAAATGGCTGGAGGTTCCCTTTATCTATACCATACCTTTATCCTAGATGAGGGTCTGATGTTAAACCCAACACAAAAAAGAAACAATGGAGTGGGGTTCCTTTTAGAAATGCATGCCAGACACTCTTATCTTTGATGAGAGTCTGGTATGAATGTTGAATGAGACCTCCCACAAAAAAAAAAGAATGCCTGGCATGGGGGTCTCAAATTCTACAATAGATGGATCTGGCATGGATGTTATTAGGGTATATCACAAATAATAAGAATACAGGCAAGCCAGGAAAGGAGGTACAAGAGTACACCCTCCTTGTGAACCATACTGTGAACCCTCAACATGGGATGGGTCTTTTCCAGGAGGGAACCCTAGGACAGCATCTTGTTCCCATGTTGTTGTTCCCATGTTGATGAGGACAAGGGGCCTCTTCCTCATAACTCTGGCCCAGCGGTTGTGGGGGTCTGCAGGAGGGGGGCTTATCAGGATTTTAAAGCCTCCTTTAAAATAGGGGGGCCCCCATATACCCTCAAAGTGAATGAGTAAGATGTGGTACTCCTATCCATTCATAAAAAGAGTGAAAAGGAAATAAAAACACACAGAAAAAAATTTAATTCCAGTGTCAGTCACATCATCCAGCAATGTAGATTCAGTAACGATGAAAGGAACCCACTGACCTGTCAAAAGAAAAAAAAAAAAACACTAACCACCAACACATTCAATCCCAGCGATTACTTGCCTGCAAATCACAGGTGTGGAGGATGTCAGCTGAGTATAAAGAAAGGGGTGTGGTCTTCTGGGTGATGTGATTGATCAAATATGGACATAATATATATGGACTATAACGTCAACCGGGAAACCCTGTCTGCTTGTTTATTGCCAGTTGTCATTTACTGGACCCATCATTCGCAGGTGAGCAGTTGTGAGGATGTGTTTGAGTGATTTCTGTTTTGGCAGGATTGGCAGGTACAGGTTACTCTGATACATTTTGGGTTTTTTTTTATTAAAATGTTAGTAAGAAACTGTTTTTGTATTTATTTACTTTTTCCTTTTTTTGAATGAGTAGGGGTATTAAATATCCTTTATCCATTTACTCATTCACTTATTTTTAAAGGGGACTTCCAGATTTTGATAACCTACCTGTTCATAGACCCCTAATACCACTGGGCCAGGGTTGTGGGGAAGAAATGGGGGACCCCACTGGCAAGGTACCCCCCCCCCATGTTGAGGGCATGTGGCCTGGTATGTTTCAGGAACAGGTTGCATGTTTCTCCACCTCTTTACTGGCAAGCCAGCTCCATGCTTGGATAAAGGTATGATGTGGATTTTTTAGGGGACCCTATGCTATTTATTCTTGATTTATGTGTAGGGCTCAACCTTAAAATCCATACCTTTCTCAAGGGGTCTAATATAGAATTTGGGGGTACCTACAGAATTTTTTTTCTTTGCAAAGGTCCCCCTTAAAATTCATACCAGACCTGAAACTATCTCCAGCCAGTTTGTTTGGGATTCCTAGACCAGTAAATGAATAGTGCCAGTTGAAGAATGTGGGTAGTCTGTTCTTAGTAACCAGGTCCTCTCCCTGGTGCTGAACTTCCTGGGCTGGGGTTAATAGCTTCAGCTTTCTGGACTGAACGCAATAGAAAAGCTCCCAATTGGGACCCTCCCTGTCCCCTCTAATCCATTGAGTAAAGCTTTGCAAAGTGTTCACTGCATGCAACGTGATCTGTGAATGGGGGAGAGTCTAATGAATGACAAAATCCTCTCCCCTATTCACAGATCATTATCGTACACTTTTATTGTCACCATTGCGTGGAACTGTCTTGATCTAATTATGGCTAATCAATATGATTATGAATTCCCTCCAGCCAGCTCACCAACTAGGTGGGTGAACTAGAGACATCAGTTTCACTACTCACAGAGTGGGATGATTAAAGAGACAATACTTCTGAAGGGATGCAGGGGTGAGTTGTGCTTGCTCTCCTCCTCCAGTACCTCCTTCTGGCAATACATGTCCTTTCAATGGAAAAAAAGAGGTGTTGAAGCAGGAGAGACATGAGATTATTGAAGGCTAGAGAAATTCCAGCAATTGGGTTCTGCTTTTTGCAGAAGTTATATATGGCACATACCAGTAGTGTATGGAAAGTTTGTAGGGCTTGTAGTTCAAAGTATAAGATTAATAAAAAAGAAAACAGAAATGTTACAAGCAGTAAATGTGAAAAAAAGGTGAACTTAGGGTGTAATGTGGTCATGTAATGAATTTTACTGTATAAAAAACTGTAATACTGTATTTTGATTAGGTGCTTAGAAATACACTTCCTCCATGGGCACTGGTGTTCCAGTTTCAATAAAAATGAATAAGGAACCAATTGTGTTTTCAGGTTTATTTTCTTATGAGCAGTTAACTTGTATGTCTTGTATGTTTATAGTAAAGTCCATCTAAAGCCTCTAGTTTTTTTCTTCTTATAGGGTGATAAACAGACATTTTCAATGCAAGTTTGTATGTTAAATGTCTTAAAAGAAATGTAATTTACCTCTTTTTTTATTGGGAACTGTAGCTATGGCTTTTATATCATTCCCTAGGCTTCAGCAGACAGACAAATTTGATGTCATTATAGAGGGCTGTGGGCTGTATGACGTTAAATATACAGAATGACCCTGCACTTCCCTTTCTAACCACTACCAAAAAAATACAAAGCGGCTAGGTTATCCCACAGCTAGTCAATGAAAGTCTAAATATTTGGGTGCATTGATCACAGAGACTTTCGATACACATTTTTTTTTGTCATATTTATTTTTATTTTCTGTCACCTGTTCCATAGGAGGTCTTTGTAGTTCAAATGAGAGGAACAATCTAGGGCTCTAGGGCAGTGGTTCACAAGCTACGACCGGATGGGGGCTAGATGCCCTTTGCTTGCCTTTTATCAAGCCCTTATTCCTCTTACTAACACCAACAATGTGGCACCATTCCTCCTACTAATACCAATGATGGGGCACTATTCCTCCCACTGACACCAATGACAGGGCACTTTTCCTCCCACTGACACCAATGGTGGGGCACTATTCTTCAGACTAACATCAATGATGGGGCACTGATATGTCCCCTAATACCAAAGATGAGACATTGTTTACTTCCATGATGATGCCAGGACATTTCCTACTCCCACTGGAAAGGGTCCAGCCCCCATAAAGTCTGAAGGACAGTAAACTGACCCTTTGTTTAGAAAGTTTGGAGACCCCTGATCTATATATCTTCATAGATATAGTTAAGTTATTGAGTGTTATTACCCTAGTACAGCAAGTGTGACTGCCAAGATTATTAGGTGAAAATAAAGGAAAAAAAGTCAAAACCTCTAAAAAAAAAGTCAGCTACACTAAATAGCATTTATGTTTTTGGGTTTAGATGCACTTTAAATAACTAGGGAAGTTATTAAGCTATGGATTATAAAATAAGTTTTAAAGTGGGACCCCATTGGGAGATGTTTCCTTACTTTTGGCCTCTGCGACATTAATACAATAAAAATAGAAACAAAAGTGTAAAACAACAGGGTTAAAAGAAAATTACATACTTAACCACTTCCAGTCTGGGTCA